GCTCACTTGACTGGTTTGAAAAAAAACAACAACAGCGGGGACTGAATCTGGCTTTTATTACGGTCGGCTACATCCAGGATTGTCCTGGGTGTAAGGGTCTTGTTAGACACTCCTTGAAAACTGAGTTTCAAAGAAAGCGGTGTCATTAGACCAGTCCCTGAAACGGAATCCTCGAAACAAGATCTTTGAAAAACTGTGAAGACGCTCAAGGACTACCGGCAGTCCTAAAAACTCGAGGATTTCCCAGTGAAATAGTTCCGATTTTCAATGAACCTCGTGAGGTCCAAATCTGGAGAATGCCCTCTCCACTTCGACGCGTTCTTCCTTGAATTTACAAAGAACCTCAATTTTCAAATAACCTCACGAGGTTCTTTGAAAACTCAAGGATGAATGAGCCAAAGTGGAGAGGGCATCCTCCGGATTTGAGTCATGGTTGTGCGCTATTGGTTGAAAGCCTGAAGCACAGCCCTTTTCGTTTTTTTCAAAAGACATCTTTCTCAGGGCTTCGTCCTTGAAATGGATTTTCAAGGACTAGTTCAACCGGGATGCAAAAAATCCTTGAAACGGTGAGAAGTCAAGGATTCCTAACGAGTGTCTTAGACAACCCTAAGTGCCCCTCAGATGTATGGCCGAGAGTAGGCTGTAGCCATGAGGGGAACTAAGATCTGTTTTTCTTTTCAGGTAATACGTTTGAAACACTGACCGTGGGATCAGGAGTCATTGCAGGGCAGTACTTGGGCCGCTCTACTGCCACACGTCTTTTTAACCCTACCCCGTTGCTAGTGGGACCATGCTCCAGGTGCTATTACCCAGTGATTGTGTGTGTGTGTGTGTGTGTGTGTGTGTGTGTGTGTGTGTGTGTGTGTGTGTGTTTTGCGGGGGCGCTGTGGGAGAAGGGGGGCCACGAAGGGGTTGAAGTCATGGGGAAGATCGAGGTCGTTGATGACATGATTCAGTTGACCCCTGCTTGTCTATCACCAATGAAATGGGGAAGATGGACGGCACAATTTCGATTCTCCTCATTTTTAAATTAATGTTTGTTTTTTGAGACAGCTGCGCCTGTGACCGCTACACAGTTCAGAATTCGCAGAAATAACAGTCCGCTGCAAGATTGGGCCGTGAGCAGTTCAAAACAGCAAAAAAAACAGTAAACTATGTGTTCGACGGCCTACCGGTTCATAAGTGGCAAAAACGGGAGGTGGCCTGGGCTAGTGGTACCCCCCTTTATCCCGTGGCCTGGCCTGGGAGCAGGTACCGGTAGCAGGCCCTCCCGTTTTTTTTGTTTTTTTTTTCCCGTTTTTGGCTTCTGGCGGGAATAGGTTCGGGCTGGAAAATGATCCCACTTTGTCAGTACAGGAAAAGCCACCCACCGCGCCACGTGCCCCTTTAACACCCACCCCATTCTCTCTCTCTCTCTCTCTCTCTCTCTCTCTCTCTCTCTGTGTCTGCTGCTCGGCCCACCAAAGTGCAAATGTATCTGGTCCATTGGACCGCGTCAGATACATTCGCACCATTTTTTTTGGGACATGCTAATCTTCTCTGTATC